TCATGACTCATTTAATTAATTTTGCATTCCTTCAAATTACTTCCTACGACATTCTTGTTTTAACCAAATCCACATCTTCGTATTCACATATTTTGGTACGGTATTTCCTTTGTTAGCAATTACTCAAATTATCTTAATTACCCTTTGTTCAGACAAGTATCTTTATCCATATGCCAATCTTCCATTGTTACAAAGCCTATACAGTTGGATCTTAGCTATTTGCTAGTCAATGCAAATGCTTCTGCTTAATTGTTTAATGAAAACCACTCCCACTTCTCAACATTTTTAAACTCCATGATATTAATAACATTTGTTTACAAATAAGAAATTTATTTGACTATTTGTTTGTATGGTTGAAGCTTCGAAATTCGCGACATCATCCTGTTTAGTAGAATTAATCTTTTAGAAATTCATAATACGCGTTTCTTTGATTTTTTTGTAATATTAAAATTCTGGATATACACAAGAATTTATAACATGCAGTGCTGCTGTTATCTCTTCAAATGTAAATTAGTAAAAAATTTCTTCAAAATTTACTATTTGAGCATTGTATTCATCAATCAATTTTAATATTATATTAATTGATTAAATAATTAATAATGACAATAATAATAACAATGACAATTTTCTATGACTATTTCCTGATCTTAATAATTAATTAATTGCTTACCGAATGAAGTTTTTGAAAATCAATATATGAAACTGAAACATATATGATCATATTTCACATAATGACCATATTTCACAGACATTTTTAAATAAGTAAATTTTAACTATATTATTGAAAATTAAAAACGGCATGCAAAATGGAATTATTGCAAATATAAACACTATGCTAAAAATATTGACAAATGAAATTTAATATATTTAAGAGATTTTTCTTATCGAAAATCAGCAAAGCTTTTAAGCATTCTTAAAGATTATATTTATCCTGTTTAAGCTGGCCAAATATTTTCGTTTGTTGAAAATTTAATGACTTTTTAACTTTAAAAACAAGATTTTAT